ACTGACTCTCATGTTACACTGTATGTGTGTATTAAAACATCACACTATACTCTATAAATACGGACAATCAGTGAGTCAAAATTTTTAAAAAGCATAAAAACCTGAGAAGCCAGTGGGAAGGCTCTGTGACTCCCAGTCACATGCCTGGTTGGAGATGGAGGATGACAGACTAGAAGCCAGTTTCAGTTCCCATTCTAAGTTAAGAACAGTAGTATTTGAATTCTCATCATGAACTTGAAACAAAAACTTAAAAGCTTACATGAATCTATTTTTACCACATATGACAATTTAGATATACAGATGGGCAAAATACGGAAAACAGGTCTACAGTGTGGATGTCTTGATTAACTTGACAAAGGGTTTTCTATTCCTTAAGAAAATCTAAAGGAAACTAATCCTCCTCCCAAAGAAGAATTTGTTGATGAGAGGATAACCAACTTCCTCCATCTCCAAGTCTTTTTATCTTTTAAGAAAAGTTACTCTATGACTCCCCCAAAACTCTCCATTATGATACTACAATCTTAATCAATGGAGAGTGATTTTCTAAATGCAATCTCTCCTACTAACAGGATTTAAAAATTCTCCAAGCTAGCTCGATCCTGGTTAAGTGAAACTAAGAGTCTCATGGACTTTTCTGCCTGGGTTGGTTTCAAACCTCAATATTCAGATCTCAGCCCTCTAAGTAGCTAGGATTTCAGTTGAAAAAGCCAAGTTAAAGAGTGTAAAGCCCTAAAATTCAAGCTCCTGTACTGGCATACACACACCAAAAACAACTTAAGATCCTCTTGTAATTAGTTTAACCAATTTAAAAACTTTAGGTGATATGATACATCGAATTTGCAGGGTGAGGAAGAGCAGGAATTGTAGGCAGAAGCAAGGGGAAGCTGAAACTAGAATAACAGCAGCATGACAGCTGTTGAAGCTGGATGATGTGTGAGTGTTGTTTTCTTCATATTTGAAAACTCTACAATAGAGAGAAGTGAATTCTTAAAAACTTCTAAATATGCACTAGACATTTTAAGCTACCTCTGAAACATGTCTAAAATAGGAAAAATTCACTGCAAAATAAATCCAAGTGGTCTACTGTTTTTTTTTTAAGTCAAGTTAAAAATGAAGGATTTACCAGTATTTAACTATTTAAAAGTTGTAGGAAAGGCTATTATCGCCACCTACTGGACATAATGATTGACTGCTTGCTAGAAAAAAAAACCCAGCATAGAATAGGTCATCCCATTGTGCACCAAGCATCTAGTTTTTAACAAGATAGTACTAAATAATACCCTCAAATTTATGTTCATATTAGTGACACTACTTAGTAATGTCATATTACATTACTTGCTAAATACCACCTGCTAAAAGGCACATCATAAAATTTTTGTTAGAAAGTAACTGGTGATCATATATAAGCTACCCTTGTTTTACACTAGATTTCAAAATCTGAACTGTTTGCTCATGGAGTTAGAATTCAGACTTTATATTGTTTTTTTGTTTGTTTGTTTGTTTGTTTGGGTCTGGTCGTGGGGCCTGAACTCCGGGCCTGGGCACTGTCCCTCAGCTCTTCAGCTCAAGGCTAGCGCTCTACCACTTGAGCCACAGCGCCACTTCCGG